AATTAAATAATTTATCGCTTGGTGCCAAATTATACTTTGTTTTAGTTCATACAATATCAAATATATCTAAAAAACTATAACAGGAGAGAAGGTTTCCAAATTTGCCCATCCAAGTCAGAATCTCAAATAATTCACTACGAGTGCTTTGTTGGACTGGTAGCTGTGGAACTCCTTCTCAACCCACCGAGTTACAGTTCTTCTAGAGAGCAATCAGCGTGCAATTACAATTCATGTGCTTACAAAGATAGGACTGCAATTAAAACAGATTGTAACATGTCGAACAGGACTACAAATCATGATTTGCGAACCGTTGTTGATTCGGACTACAGATCATTCAGCCCAAAAATCGTTCAGATGATCAGTTCCGTTTCACTTTTAACCTATTTTTTGACGAAAAATCATTGATTTGGTCAGTGTCCTATTAATTTAGTCAACCCAAACAATGTTGATTTTTACAACCGAATTCAAACCCAACCCAACTGTAATTTTCTATGGGGCTGAAGAACATCCTGGAAAATTCCAGCGGGAGGTTAATTTTTCTGGTGTAAAATCCCTCAAGTGGGTCAGGTCCGGTTGGTGTACAGCCCTGTTCAAATTATTAGCTAGAACAATATGGACCCAGAACCGAACCTATTATTTCTGGGGACAATTGTGTCTGACCCGATTAAACCCTATTATTTTCGATATTCGAAGAAATTTTTTTATTTACGATAACGGATTTTTGAAGAACTTCGAGACCGACACAGGAGAGCTAAAAAGAGGTGGGAACATGAGGAGTCGGAGAGTAGCGACAACAACAGCTTTTTGTACGAGGGTTGGGGAAAAGGTTGAATGAAAGATATGTCATATGTCTTCCTCTTTTGAATCACTCCTTATGTACTAATTTATAATTAGCAGGGATGTTAGTGGGTCGGGTTCAAGCATCCGGGCCAGTCAACCTAGATTTATCAATCAATCCAACCCACTAAACAAGCAATTTAAGTGATGTTTGGCATTGATGTTGATTCTTTTTTATATATTATCAAAAATCAGTAAATTTTGTTATTTAGTATTATTTTCATTTTTGTCATGTTTTGAGTCTATTTGGTACTGATTCTTTTTTAGTAAATTTTGTTATTTAGTATCATTTTCATTTTTGTCATGTTTTGAGTCTATTTGCTACTGATTCCTTTTGCACCGGAGTAATTATTTAATGCCACATCAGATTTTATGTCTATTACTATATTTATTATTATTTATAAAAATGAGAATGATCAATTTCTTTGGTCTAACACCCTGATTTTTGTTTCTAATTTTACCCCTTTTAATATATCTCTGAATGGATTGGTGAATAAACTAAAAGCCTTCTATTTTGCCCCTACATATAAAGACGACAGGTGTCCCAAAAAATGCTAACACATGGATAGCAAAAGTCTACATGATTTCTGTCAATTTACTTCTAAGCCACGTGCAAAGAAGTGAGGACCCACTTCTGTTACAAGTAGACTTATTTAAAACTGTATTTGGAGGCTCTACACGAAGGCAAAAAATTTCATGGCAATGTATACGTGGTGTGGTACTGTGGAGATTATGATGTAAAAGAAATGCTAGGATATAATTTGATAATTTGAAATTTTTAATGTCACAATTATTGAGGTTATTAATAGTTAAAAAAATATAATAGTAGTAACTTCTAAAATGATTTACAATTATTATAAAAATATTGAAAAATATTAATAATTATTGATAATTATTTTGCTTATTCAATAATTTGATAATTTCATAATGATGGTAATTTCAATAGTTGTTATTATCAATTTATTATTCATTATTAAAAATAATTATCTATAATTTTGACTTAATAACCTCAATAATTTTGAAATTATCAATAATTTCAAAATTATCAAATTATTGAATAACAAAATTACTGTAATTACTCAAATTTCCACAATTATAAAATTTCTGAAATAACAAATCATCAAATAAAAGAATAATTTTAACAAAATTATTGAATAGAAAAAGTTATTTTAAAAATCACTATTATTATTTTTGAATTATCAATAATTTCCAATAAAGTTGAAATTATCAACAATTTCTATGAGATAATTATAATTGGTATTATTATGTAACTATCATTTTCGAAATTATTGTAATTACTATTATTATTTAATAAAAATTATTTTCAATAATTCTCATTATTATTATTATTAAATTACGAAATTATTGAATAAAAAATAGTTATCAATAATTGTTTTGAATAACAAAATTTAAATAATTTTCCATAATTTCTAATAAGAAAATTATTGAAAATTATTTTAAATAATGGTAATTATTGGAATTGGCATATTTATAAATTATCAAATTATTAGATAACAAAATAATGGTTTTCTTATGGCATTTTTTAGGGTGTTAGTAAGGATTTTCAATTTTTGTACTATTTTAGGAGGATAAGAGGATGGTGTTTTGTTCGGAACATGAGTTAGATATCACGATTGAGGATTATGATATGTTGATTCAATGATAGATTCCAAGTTGTCGATGTAGGCATGGCAAAACAAAAAGATGCTCTAGCAATTCTTCAATTTCAAACCAATTTAGTTCAAAGGTCCTAAGAATAAGTGCTTAGTTGATGATTTAGCTTGCAATGGAACTACTGAAACCAATCAAGTTGATTGTTCGAGAATGAAAAAATGAGAAAAAAAAAGAAAGAAGGGGATACCTTACCTGGTTAATTGGTTTAGTTGCAGATCTACCATTGGTTGGAGAAGACTATGGAGAAGAAAGTGTTGAAGAGCCTAACCCTATGCTTTTAGACAATTGAAGGGCATAAGTGGCATTTTGAAATCTAAGTGGGGACAATATTGGAATCAAAATTTTGAATTAGCACTTAAAAAAGTTGAAATTTTAGGCTTCTTCAATAAGCACTTATTTCGAGCTTATTTCCCAAATGCCAATAAGTGCTTAATGGCATGGTCCTGACCCAAAATAAGTTCTTATTCAAATAAGCACTCCCAAACTTGGCCTTAGTAGTTGATGAGCTTTAAGGTTGATTGCATTGAGTATTTTTTGCTATGAACATTCATTGGGTTATTTATATCTTCAATCTTTTTTTTTTTTGTTTAATCAGGTAAAGCATGTCAAATTATGAGTAGTTAATCAAATTGAGTAAATTTCCACAACTTCAATCTTAATTGTTTGGTTCAATTTAGCTTGGTCCCCATCCTGATGATTAGCTTATAATCTTAATTTTTTTATTATAAGCTAGAGTTGGTTTATAAATTGATGAAGAATTGAGTTGTTATTATTATTATTATTTTTTTCAATAAGGCAAGGTAAATTTATTAGAAAATAAAACAAAGTATACAAAACATATATGAAAAGCAGAAAACAGAGACAAAGAAGATCTCACAAGCCACTCCAACAAACAAGACCTAACAAAGACAACACCCAAACACAAAGACCTTGGTAATCCTACCTAAAGAGGCCTAAATCACCCCCTAAACCATGAAAAATTAAGCAAAAAATAAAAACTCGCTAGCGGACCTAATTACTTCTGCCTCTTCCTCTTCTACCTCCCTCTGGTGCTACAAGTCTCACGGAAGGAGGACAACAACTGACAGGTCATAATAGTCCATTAGTAGCTTGGACAAAGTAGATCCCACAGTCTATTATTCTTTTTGTGTATTATTTTTCATACTTGAAAATTACTTTATAATAATTCAAATATATTCTTTTAGCAATAATATGATAAACATACACGTGAAATGCACGTGTATCCCATTAGTCATTCTGAAAAAATCAGAATTAGATGAAAATCAGGAAACCCAAAAAAAATGGTGGTTCCTGAAAATTGTTGATTTCAAGAATCTTTTTTTTTTTTGCCAATTTCTTAAAAAATCACCAAAATTGACCAATCAAACAAAAATTTCGGCACTCATTCTTCCCGTGTTTAGGTGGCTCCGATATGGTAGTGATTTAAAAAAAAAATCAGCATCGATTTACCATTGTTTATTTAGCAAGTTAGGATTAAGACCATATCATTGTTTATTTGGTAAGTACATTGACCCAACCCTATTGGATCAGGTTCGGATCACTCTTAATTGGGTTTTGTATCTAGTCTGATGCCTCTACTGACAACAGTCTTAATTCTATTGGGTATTCAACTTTACACCTATGTTCTTTTTCTATATTTATGTAGGGTCTATAGAAAATTTGTTTTTCCTGGGTATTACCCATCTCCCACGTGGGTAATTTTTCCAAATGGAAAAAAAGTTGTCAACACTTGTATAGAACAAAATTACCCGTTTTAATAATGATTTTTTATGGTTAAAACGATCATTGTCTTATTTTTACTTCAAAAAATGGATAAATGCACTTACTTACTTGGATAAGTGTTTCCTTACCCAGGTAAGTAACTTATCAAAAAGCAAATGGGGCCGTAATGACCAAAAAAAAAATGTAAACATTTGGCAGATCTCTATCCAAGTTTGTGAAGACATCTAGATTTATGGGACTTCAGTGCAGTTTGCACTTATAATGAATACCCATCATTTCCTTGCAAATCATGCAGATAGGGGAATTGAAATCTTTAATTTATGGCAATTAATTAAGATATGTAAGACTGCATTTGGCATTCCTTCTTTTAAGGACTTATCTCCTTCTTGCATTTAAGAAAACCTATATAAACATCAAGTTTTTAACTATAAAAAGGATACAAGTCTTTAAAGTAAGAAATGCCAAGCGCAGCCTAAATCAATGTATAAAGCTTGGGAATTAGCTGAATGGATTTAGCCTGACATGAAATACTTTCTAGTTTCTAGAATATGGGAAACTAAATTTCATATATTAGTTCATAGATTATTGGACACCAATCACTGAGCTTATTCAAATGCTCAATTCGATAAACCTGCTGTAGAGTGGATCACGTTTAGGGGTTTCGTATCACTGATATAAATTAATTAACGTAGGTGAATACTTTTCATTCATTTGATTTCTCAAAATTCCCTGCTTTGAGCTCAGGATGAACAAAGGAAAATTACACTTTGTTAGGAATCACAACAAATAAAAAAAAGGAACTATTCTATTTCCAATTGATCCAGACAGGGAAGTAAAACAAAATCTATCCAAGTAAACTTAAAAGCCTATAAACATTAAAAGTTGTATTGGAGAAAATTCAATTTAAATACTCCAAAACCGCATAATATCCAACCAAGATAGGAAGGGAAGCTAACATTCCGAAGATCACCCTGCAATTGAAGAAACCAGTTAAGTGAGAAGCTGAGAGAGAGGTATTCTTAGGGCCCATTTGATTCATAGCAAATTAGCATAAAGGTCTGAAATCGGAATTGGAATGGGCCATTCTGATTTCAACTATTTGGTTGGGTGGAATCAGAATCCCATTTCCATTCTTGGTGAAATGACATTTCCTCATCTTTTGAGAATGAAATTTCATTTCAACTGATTCCAATTTCCATTCAGATTCTTATTTGGAGGAATAAATCATTCTGATTCCAATTTTAAAGGATTTTAATTTCAATTCCAACTGTAAACCAGACGGACCCTTAAACAAGATAACCATAAACTGATGAGGATAATGGTTGAAGAACTTACGCCGTGCTAAGAACATCTGCATGCAACCCATATTCTTTTGCATAAATGAAGGAGGTTATGGACTGTGGCAATGCTGCCTGCAGCAAACCAATGAACCATGTCAAACACAAAAACTTGTGCATATAAAAGGGAAAACATTTCATTGACTAATAGGTTAGAAGGATGAATTTGTGCATATAAAGGGAAAAAAGATTTTCTAGAGGATGAATCTTTGTTGGAATAGGCATATATTCAGTTTATCAATACATGCCCACCTCACAATGTGACCGGATCGGCCACACATCCAGAATATCTCCCCATCAAATGTTCTGGGTGTTCTGCTCTGTGGTGTGTTGGGTAGTGTCTTGTGGGGTAGCAGACTACCCCACAATAATGTGTATTGGGCAGGGGTGGAAGGGAATCGATCTGCTACCCACAGTATAAATAGCTCCCAACATGATCTATTGATCTATAGCCACATATCTCAAATATCACCCCATAAAAGCTGAGATCGGCTTCAATTAGGACAAGCCTGTGTTCACATCTTCCCAACAGTCTCTTGCAACCTTGCATCAGGAATATCTCTCCATGAAATAAAACATATAAGTACGGAGATATTTCTAATGTAAGGCGCTGTAAAAGTTACTCAAACGGGCATTATCCTGACAAAAGCCGAACTCATAAAAGTTTGAAACATGTTTGAGATGTACGCCTATAGTTTATGTTAGAAATTGAGTAATAAATGGGTCCTGGAAATAAGACAAGGTAGGTCAGGTTAATATCAATTAGATCAACCCAAAGGTCTTGAAACTTTAACCCTAATCGAACCAAATATTCAACTGTTTGTAATGATCCCCAACCCAGCCCCATCGAGATTCGTCAACCTTAAATTGAATTTGCATCCAACAGCACATCCCAATTATAATGCATGGTAAGATGTATATGGACATATGGGGCGCCAATCTGAACTCTAATGCGACCCAGTTTCTCATTTCTTCATTGTAAAAACAAGAGGACTGTTTTCACCTTTTCATATTATACTTCTCTAACGCCAGAAAATTAGATTAGACCTAAACGCGCCTCAAGGTGCAAACTGGGTTACTGGACTTGAAGATTTTCAACTTTAGGACTCGGGTTCAGATTAGAATCCATTGAAATCTAAGAAAATTACAACCAAACCCAAGTACCTAATTCAAGTTGCATCCATAGCTAGTTCCCTATTAGTACTGGGCCTTTCACCCAGCCCATATTGGGTTCTTAATTTATTTATTTTTTTTTTTATTTGGATGCACACTCGAAATTAAGGATATATTAGCAGATATTAGGACAGCTAATATATATAAGTTCAATATAAGCAAAGGAGGAGAGTTCAGATCTGCACCCCACAAGAGGACGCCCCACAATGTTCCACAGCACATCCTCGCCATGTATTAAGAATATCTCTCGATAATAATATTAAAAATGATGATAATGTCATCATCAGAAGATATTCTTAATACACGACGAAAATGTATTCTGGAATGTTGTGGGGCGCAGATGTGATCTCAAAGGAGGAGGCTAACCAAAACCAACCACTGTCTTAACTTTCAAGCATATAGTATAAAAATGTAATTTAAAGAGTTGACATTCTTTTCCCTAATAGGATGTGGAGCTTGTGGACAAAGAACATTTGAGAATACTAGAGTTTTAGGTGGTTAACACGTAGATCTCTTTAAAGTCTTGATATGTGGACCCCTACTCTTTTAAGTTTGGAAAATTTATATATATATATATATATATTAAATTAATAAAAAAAATAGTAAATTATTTAGTTTCATGTTTTGTTTTTAGGAAACCATGTTCCATAAATCATATAAACATATAATTTTTGCACTATAAAATTTGCTTTTATTTTAAAAAACATTATTTTGATACAATATGCCTTGTATTAGGCGTATTAGCATATCATATGTATTGAGGGCTGTCCGAAACTCTAAATGAGTGTTTCGGACATTGACCATTTTCAGAAAATGAACATGCTTAAAACTGATCCCTGAATCAACAGGGGATTGCTCGATGAATTACTTGTTCGGACTATGAGGTGTATCAATACTTTGAACCATGATAGAGTCTAGAGGGTCTAAGTAGATGAATTACCTGGATGATGGCCACTCTCAAGACGTCACCATGGAGACCAACAGCTATGGCTCCTATTGCCATGGCAGCAGGTCCTGCAATAAACTTCAATACCATTCCAAAAATCGTTAGGGGCGGACCACAAGCAATTAACTTCTCCTGCAACGCCATGAAGATTCCTGCCATAAAGAAGAAGAAGACCCAATCGTCAGATTATACAAGAAAAACTATTAAACCAATTGAATTAAAACTTGTGATAAAAATAAGTGGGAAATTAAATTTGACTGACCCATATTAAACATGGCCGTGCCTGTCCCTGCTCTTGACATGATCAACACAGATCCCTCCATGATGCTTGGCGTTTCAATGTGCCACCTAAAGATATATATGTTAGCCACTAATCCAATTAGACAAGATATATAGCTCCATTAATTATTCTTAATTTTCAAGAGCTGAATTCACTCAGCTTAACAAGGACAATAAGATCATATTAAGTTAAGGTCTGGAATTAGAATTAGAATGACCCATTCCAATTCTAACTGTTTGGGTGGGTGGAATTGGAATTCCATTCCCATTTCAATTGATTCTAATTCCCATTGAAAATAGAGTATATATTGATTCTAAGTGCGAACCCTAAAAGAATTATGGTCTTGTGATATATATATATACCTGTTTGAGACAAAAGCCCAGACTATGCCAACGAGACTAGCATATGTATTAGGATTGAGAGCCAGCTTCAGCCACACAATCTTCATTACAGAGCAGAAGGAAGGTTTTGTAGTACTCAGGCCCTCAACAACGTGGTCATTTGTTTGGACATCCTTGGCTGATTCGAGAGAAACCACATGAGATTGAGAGTCGAGGCTGGTCGCCATGGACGACAGAGTGTCGCTCCTGGTTTTGCGCAGCTCCAAGACGAAGAGAAGAATCGTGAGCCATACGATGGCTTGAATCACAGAGGATTGCACGACGAGATCCACCCCAATTTGGCCGTACATGGCCTTAAGGAGAGGGACCCCTACGACCAGAGAGTTGGTGAGAGTGGAGAGAGAAAAGCTGGTTATGGACCAAGGGTAACTCCCCTTGCTGCTGCACTTAGCCCAGAAGACGAGAACTATGACGATGACTACCTTGGAGATGGCATCGGCGGCAATGAAGAGATAGTTCATGTTAAAAGGATCGATGTGGGCAGTGAATTCGAAGGTGAAGAGAGGGAGGGTGAAGTAGCAAACAAGTCGGTTAATTGCTTGACACTGATCAGGAGTGAATATGTGCCACCATTTCACCGAGCCATAACCCAGAACTGTGGCAACATACAGAGGCACCATGGCCACTACCACCTTGTAAACATCTTCCAACCCTATCATTCTCTTCTCCTGATTGTTAATATTAGCTTCAACAATCGATAAAATCGAATGAGAGAAGCAATTAACAATGGGAAGACGAAGTCTGTGTGAAGTATAGTTATTATCACTCAGCAACATATTTATATCTATAGAGCTGAGACAGCATTTTTTTAATTGGAGATAGCTAGCTAAGCTTGTTGGGTGCATTGATTCTTTGCAGTGGATTCTCATCAAATGAAGTGAAGTTTATTGACATGAGACGAGACGTTAGTGCTGTTTTCACCAATCGTTGTTGTTGTTGTGTTGTTAACAATCATTTTCCTTCTCTGTGTAATTGTGTGGAATAAGGAATGAGTTCCAGAGATTATTCCTAACCACATTTGCAAGGGGGAGAGCATGATTTTGGGTTACTATGGTTAAATATTCTTCCCGTTATATTTGAGAAATTTAATTTGTGTTGCTATATCTATATATCTATATATATATATATATATATATATATGCTTAAATATTCTTCCCATTATATTGAGAAATTGTGGATGAGAACATTTTGCAGGGGAATATAGAATAAATTCCAATCTTCTGGCGTCGTCAAAAACACAAGCTTGTTGTCTACAATTTTTCCTTCTTATAACTCATCACTTCCCACTAAACATATTCCTCTCCAATAATATGTTTCTGCAGATAATATGCAAATATGCGTTTCTGTGGTTGGGATTTAAATGCAATGTTTTTTATGACCAGAGTGGGACCCACTGATCCGACCGCAACTATGCCCGTTCGACCGGCTAGCCTCTTACAACTTTGCAATGAAATAAAGCACATAACTACAGAGATATTTCCAATGTAAGGCTGTAAAGGCCGTTCCAACGGACGCTGCACTGACCGAAGCCGAATTCGACCACCTAACACTTAGGTGTATTTCATCATTATTATTACTTTTTTTTTGTGTGTGTTGTGGGATTAATTTGCTCTTCATGAAGAGCTCCTTACAGCATGTACATGTCTCAGCCGCACATTAAGAACATCTCTCATCTCCCATACTCTTTTGTTATTATTCATGGAAGATGTTTCCAATACATAGTGGGATATATACTGTGAGTTCACATGTGGGGTGAGGCAGGTGTGAGGAGCATTATGTGAGAAGCAAATCACAATTCCCCCACTACTGCATGTTTGAGGGTTCAAATTGGCACAGGATATTGTATTAAAAACACAAATTTTCTTCTGAGGGTATATTTGTTTTCTTGTTTGTACTTGGTAGTAGTGGTGGTGATTTCATGACTTCAGCAAACAAAGAGTGGAGAGAGATAAAAGTAGCTTTTTGTTGTTTGCTTTTTCTCTTATTTGATTCCATCTTAAAATCAAGAATAAGAATTATGCATTTTTGCCTTTGGCATTACAGATTTCCATACTAGGAATTGAATGAAATGCTACTCCGTCAGAAATATCAACATTGTGCTTGCTTAGTCATTTCGTGGTTGGATTCATATATACACCTCATCAGATGCTGGCCATTCCACTTCCATTCCATGTATACATCAAATTACCATAAACTAATTAAACAATTTATTGGTTACTTGGTGCCGAACGACACTTTGTTTTAGCTCATGCAATAGAATATAGAAATATCTCTAAAAAACCAAAACGATGCTCTGAGAGGCTCAAATAACTAGGAGCACCATGTTTGAGTACTGTGTTTTGCTTTGTTGGACCCATAGCTGTGGAACTCCATCTCAACCAACTGAGTTACAGTTGGAGTTAAAAAAACATTGCTAATGGAACACTTCATTCAAACATAACAAATACATACAAGAGCTGAAAACAATGAGTAGAAACTTGAAAGGAAAGAAAAAAAGATGAAAAGAACACATCAGATTTATGTGGTTTGGCTCTTTGGCTTATATCTCTGAATGTTCAAGAGTAAGAAATCCACTATAAAAGCTTCTAATAGAGTTATAATGACTTTCCTTTTATAATCCTCTTTTCTCTCTTAGGTTACTGTCATTCTTTCCTTTTTTCTTCTCCAAAGTAAAGAAATAACAAAAGAGGAAAAACCTAATAGATACCAGCCCTTGGATATTAACAGTCTCCAATGGCTGAGATTACAACACATAAGGACAATACTACATTTATAAGATTTTTCAAAAAATACCCTTGATGAAATCCCATAAATTCAACAGTTCTTCTAGAGAGCAATCAGCATGCCATTACAATTCCTGTGGTTACAAAGGAATCCGGTTCACCTGCCAACAAAACATGTTCCACCCTTTACCAACATGATCTAACACCGCCACATCTCATACATGATGGGTCTCAGTCTCATGAAGAGATGTGTGGTGTTAGATCATGTTAGTAACTAGAGGGTTGGAACGTGTTTTATTGGCAGAAGATCCTAACTCGTTACAAAGATAGAACTGCAAACTAGATTGTAACACGTCAAACAGAGACCAGATTTTCTACTCACTTTTCTTACCCACTCTTTACCCGCAGTGAATTGGAGTCGCACATCTCTCAATTCATAATAGAGATGTATGACTCCAATTCACAGCAGACAAGAAGAAGGTAGGAAAAATGAGTAGAAAATCCCGAGTGCGTCAAACTGGACAAACTGAATCCAAACCCAACTGTGATTTTCCATGGGGTTAGATAACATCCCTAGCTAACTCGGAAAATTTCCAGCAGGTCAATTGTTCTGGTGTAAAATCCCTCAAGTGGGCTGTCAATGGGTCAGGTCCGGTTGGTGTACAGCCCCGTTCAAATTATTAATACGAACAATATGGACCCAATTATATATGGAGCAATGATAACAACAATTATCATTGATAAAATTTGTATTTTTAACTACAATTATCTTATGCACTGTTTATAAAATCTGCTATTTTAAAATAAAATGTAACAAAAATTATAAACAAATATATATATATATATATCTTTATGTATTATTAACTATATAATTGGTCTGGGTTTTGAATCAGTTTGAAACAGAAAAAATCAGTCCTGACGACATAACCAATTCAGTCCAATTAGTTCTATCGGATAGATCCAACCCATTGACAGCACTATGGTAATACCATCCACTCAAAGACCGGGCAAGCATCAAACCCAATGCACAGGTTAGCAAATTTAAAAACTGAAAGAAAAATAATGAATTAATGGGTTACATGATGATGAGGTAAGCCCACTTGACAAGTCAAATTTGACTTGGGTTACCATCACGACCTAAGCCAACAACAAAATCAGCAGCTTGATTTGCTTCATATAAAAAAAAAATGTGAGCTTTAAAAACAATCAAACATACTTGTGCAAGGGAATTTGATGACAGACCTTAAAAGCCATGGGCCAGCTGCATGTCATCCTTGGATTTTAAATATTGGGGCGCTGTGGTTTGTGGGTGGGGGTTCATAAGACCAAGAGCTAGAAACCACCCCAAGTTCTCTCATGGTCATTTTTTCCTATTTTTTGCATTTAGTGTTTGTTTCTCAAGAAATAGTATGATTAAAATTCAATTTCCTATGTTTGTTTTCTAAAAATAAAACGATCTGAAATAGATATACAACAGTATAGATATCGAGAAAACGCCAGATCTGGAAGATGCTTATTCAAACAAACATGAGAAGAGACCCGTAACGATACAGACCAAAGAAGCATCAGATGCAGAGCGGAGAAGCAGGGAAATAAGTAGATCAAATATCCCGTAGTTGAATGGAAATACATGAAAGTGGATAAGCATGTTAGATCTACAATGTACACACGCAGATATGTTAAAAAACATAGCTTGATACAGCCGGAAACAATGGCGTTTAGTCGGCGAACGACCGTGTATTACAACCGACGGGAAAGAGAGTGGCAAAGCCAAAAAAGGGAAAGAAAATAATCACTAGGGTTTAGGGGTTATAGATCTGGCCTTACCTTGGCTGGATATCGACTCACTCCACTCACAATCAAGACAGCCTGATATCTTTTTTTCAGTATTTTCTCTTTCTCACCGGGGTCGCACCATATCAGCACGACCCCACATCCTAACTTTTTAGAAACCGCATACCACATTTTTGCATCCCATCACAACAACCAAACGCATGAAAGTGAGAATCCTATAAAAATATTCCCATTTTCTCATCCCAGTCACAGCAACCAAATGCACCATTGAAAAAACGAAAGAATTTCACACAACCGAGGCAACAATAATTGGATTACATGGGAAATAAAAGAAGGAAAGTGGAAGAATTAAGAATGATTTTGAAAAGTAACTTTAGTCTCAAAATCATGGAAATAACTCCATAACGGATCTTCAATTAGCGTAGGAAAGGATTATTATGGTACAACTGGACAAGTGTGAAAAGGGTTTGGCACCACACCTACCTACCTGGAATCGAAATACTGACCTCTACTACTTGATTTTATTAAAGAAAATTTCAGAAAAGAAGGGAAGTGCCCAATTATATCACTTAAAATGGTTTCTCGTATTTTTTTTCTCAATCTTTAATTTAGATGCCACGATGAGCAAAATAAGGGAGAGGATTTCATTATCGAAATCCCAATTTTTTAGCCTAGTCTACAATCTACATGCCCTAGATGTCTATAAGGAAGGTAAAAGAATTTATTTAATTATAATCCTTCCGTGACACATGAGCATGCATGTGAAGAGAAAGAGCATTTACTTTACTATAATTCTACACTGGCCAGGATACCTGCCATGCACAGGATTTATTAAGCAAAAAGTTAAATAATAGAAATGATCATTTATTAAAATATCCTTATAGTTTCATGGATTTACTAAAACCTATCCTATAATTAGCATTTTACTAAAACACCACTTATAATTTGTAATGGATCTAATCAAACTTTCATTAGATGACGGTGGAAAATGACAATGTTGACCCTAATTCTCCTTTAAATAAATTTAATCAAGAGAAAATAATAATTAAAATACTATTTTTGCCCTTAATAAGACACGAGCAACCACTCTATTGGCTATATTTGGTCAATTTTGTTTTATGTACAAAAAAAGTGTTAGGGGTATTTTGGGAATAAAAAATCATGGGCCTAATAACAAAACAAACACTTCTTAATGAAAGGTTGATTAAGTAAATAAGTGGT